CCATGGCCCAAAAACGTGGTTTTGAAGCACGGATCCTCAAGGATCCTCATGCTTTTGTGAGGGGAGAGACTCCATCAGGCAAGGCCTCTTTCCACCTGCCTTGCCCCACCCTCCAGCCCTAGGAGTCCTCACAAGGGAGCTGGTCCTGGAGGAAGAGCTGTGAGGGGAGAGACTTCATCAGGCAAGGCCTCCTTCCACCTGCCTTGCTCCACCCTCCAGTCTCTGCTTCTTATTTTGTATTGTATTATGTTGTGCACTGTGGTTTGCTGTTGTTTTATTGATTGGAGTTTAGAATTTACTTATTGTAACTGTTGAGTGGATTTCTGTTTAATTTTGAAATGCTGATATTTAATATTATTCTATATTGTTTTAATGAATGTTGAATGTTATTTTATTTGCATATTGTATATTGTATTATGCATATTGTCTTATTTATAGGATGTTAGCCGCTCTGAGCGGGTGGTGCTGTGGGTAAAACCTCAGCGCCTAGGACTTGCCGATCGCATGGTCGGCGGTTCGAATCCCCGTGGCGGGGTGCGCTCCCATCGTTAGGTCCCAGCGCCTGCCAACCTAGCAGTTCGAAAGCACCCTCGGGTGCAAGTAGATAAATAGCCACAATAAGCTCAGATCCAAAGCTTTCTGGCCACTCCATGACCCAATTACGTGGTTTTGAAGTACATATTTTTATGGATCCTCATTTTTATTTTTTTTTGCATTGGGCCATCCCTAACTCACTGTGAAATCACTCGTCATAGCCAGGGGCACAGCCTGCACCACAAAAAACACGGATCCACGGCTTCCTGGCACTCCATGGCCCAAAAACATGGTTTTGAAGCACCCATCCTCATGGATCCTCACGCTTTTTGCATTGGGCCACCCCAACTCACTGTCAAATCCCACTTCATAGCCAGGGGCACAGCTTGCGCCACAATAAACTCAGATCCAAAGCTTTCTGGCCACTCCATGGCACAAAAAAGTGGTGTTGAAGTACATATTCTGATGGATCCTTATTTTTTTTGCATTGGGCCACCCCTAACTCAAAATCAAATGAGACTTCATAGCCAGGGGCACAGCCTGCAACACAAAAAACACGGATCCACAGCTTCCTGGCACTCCATGGCCAAAAACCTGGTTTCCAAGCACTGATCCTCATTGATCCTTATGTGTTTTTGCATTGGGCCACCCCAAACCCACCGACAAATCACACATCAAAGCCAGGGGCACAGCCTGCACCACAAAAAACACGGATTCACGGCTTCCTAGCCACACCACGGCCCAAAAAGCATGGATGCTCATGGTACCTGATGCTTTTTGCATTGGGCCACTCCTAACTCACTGTCAAATCACAGCCTGCACCACAAAAAAAACGGATCCATGGCTTCCTGGCACTCCATGGCCAAAAACCTGGTTTCCAAGCACTGATCCTCATTGATTCTCATGTTTTTTTTGCATTGGACCACCCCAAACCCACCGTCACATCACACATCAAAGCCAGGGGCACAGCCTGCACCACAAAAACGTAGGATCCTTGGCTTCCTTGCTGCTCCATGGCCCAAAAACATGGTTTCGAAGCACGGATCCTCATGGATCTTTATGCTTTTTGCATTGGGCCACCCCTAACTCACCGTCAAATCACACATCAACACCAGGGGCACAGCCTGCGCCACAAGTTCAGATCCAAAACTTTCTGGCCACTCCATGGCCCAAAAACATGGTTTTGAAGGACATATTCTTATGGATCCTCATGTTTTTTTGCATTGGGCCACCCCAAACGCACCGTCAAATCACACATCAAAGCCAGGGGCACAGCCTGCACCACAAAAACGTCAGATTCTCGGCTTCCTGGCACTCCATGGCCAAAAACCTGGTTTCCAAGCACTGATCCTCATGGATCTTTATGCTTTTTGCATTGGGCCACCCCAAACCCACTGTCAAATCACACATCATGCCCAGGGGCACAACCTGCACCACAAAAAACACGGCTTCACGGCTTCCTGGCCACACCACGGCAAAAAAACCTGGTTTCGAAGCACGCATCCTCATGGATCCTCACGCTTTTTGCATTGGGCCACGTCTAACACAACGTCAAATCACACATCAACGCCAGGGGCACAGCCTGCACCACAAAAACGTAGGATCCACAGCTTTCTGGCCGCTCCATGGCCCAAAAACGTGGTTTTGAAGGACATATTTTTTGAAGGACATATCCTCATTTTTTTTTGCATTGGGCCAACCCAAACTCACCGGCAAATCACTCGTCATTGCCAGGGGCACAGCATGCAACACAAAAAACTCAGATCCTTGACTTCCTTGCCACTCCATGGCCCAAAAACATGGTTTCGAAGCACGCATCCTCATGGATCCTCACGCTTTTTGCATTGGGCCATCCCAAACCCACTGTCAAATCACACATCATGCCCAGGGGCACAACCTGCACCACAAAAAACACGGCTTCACGGCTTCCTGGCCACACCACGGCAAAGAAACCTGGTTTCGAAGCACGCATCCTCATGGATACTAATGATTTTTGCATTGGGCCACCCCTAAAATAACGTCAAATCACACATCAACGCCAGGGGCACAGCCTGCACCACAAAAACGTAGGATCCACAGCTTTCTGGCCGCTCCATGGCCCAAAAACATGGTTTTGAAGGACATATTTTTTGAAGGACATATCCTCATTTTTTTTGCATTGGGCCAACCCAAACTCACCGGCAAATCACTCGTCATTGCCAGGGGCACAGCATGCAACACAAAAAACTCAGATCCTTGACTTCCTTGTCACTCCATGGCCCAAAAACATGGTTTCGAAGCACGCATCCTCATGGATCCTCACGCTTTTTGCATTGGGCCATCCCAAACCCACTGTCAAATCACACATCATGTCCAGGGGCACAACCTGCACCACAAAAAACACGGCTTGACGGCTTCCTGGCCACACCACGGCAAAGAAACCTGGTTTCGAAGCACGCATCCTCATGGATACTAATGATTTTTGCATTGGGCCACCCCTAAAATAACGTCAAATCACACATCAACGCCAGGGACACAGCCTGCACCACAAAAATGTAGGATCCACAGCTTCCTTGCCACTCTATGGCCCAAAAACGTGGTTTCGAAGCATGGATCCTCATGGATCCTCACGCTTTTTGCATTGGGCCACCCCAACTCACTGTCAAATCACACGTCATAGCCAGGGCACAGCCTGCACCACAAAAACCTAGGATCCACAGCTTCCTGGCCGCTCCATGGCCCAAAAACGTGGTTTTGAAGTACAAATTCTTATAGATCCATATGTTGTTTTTTTTACATTGGGTCAACCCTAACTCACTGTCAAATCACACGTCATAGCCAGGGGCACAGCTTGCACCACAAAGAATCACGGATTCATGGCTTCCTTGCCACTCCATGGCCCAAAAACGTGGTTTCGAAGCACGGATCCTCATTGATCCTCATGTTTTTTGCATTGGGCCAAACCCAGGTAAAAAGGTAAAGGGACCCCTTACCATTAGGTCCAAGTCCTGACCAACTCTGGGGTTGCGGCGCTCATCTCGGCCAAACCTAACTCACTGTCAAATCACACTTCATAGCCAGGGGCACAGCCTGCATCACAAAAAACACGGATCCACGGCTTCTTGGCTGCTCTATGGCCCAAAACCATGGTTTTGAAGCACTCATCCTCATGGATCCTCACGCTTTTTGCTTTGGGCCAACCCTAACTCACCGTCAAATCACACATCATAGACAGGGGCACAGCCTGCGCCACAACAAGTTCAGATCCAAAGCTTTCTGGCCACTCCATGGCCCAAAAACGTGGTTTCGAAGCACGGATCCTCATGGATCCTCATTTTTTTTTGCATTCGGCAACCCCTAACTAACTGTCAAATCACACATCAAAGCCAGGGGCACAGCCTGCACCACAAAAAAAAAGATTCACGGCTTCCTGGCGACACCACGACAAAAAAACCTGGTTTCGAAGAAGGCATCCTCATGGATCCCAAATATTTTTGCACTGGGCCACCCCCTAACTCAACGTCAAATCACACATCAACGCCGGGGCACAGCCTGCACCACAAAAACGTAGGATCCACAGCTTCCTGGCCGCTCCATGGCCCAAATACGTGGTGTTGAAGCATGGATCCCCATGGATCTTTATGCTTTTTGCATTGGGCCAACCCAAACTCACCGTCAAATCACTCGTCATAGCCAGGGGCACAGCCTGCAACACAAAAAACTCAGATCCATGGCTTCCTGGTCATACCATGACTCAAAAACGTGGTTTCAAAGCATGGATCCTCATGGATCCTCACGCTTTTTGCATTTGGCTAACCCAAACTCACCGTCAAATCACACTTCATAGCCAGGGGCACAGCCAGCACCACAAATGACATGGATCCACGGCTTCCTCGCCATACCACAGCACAAAAACATGGTTTCGAAGCACGGATTCTCATGGATCCTCATTATTTTTGCATTGGGACAACCCAAACCAACGGTCAAATCACACATCATAGCCAGGTAGCAACCTCTGAGTTACTAAAAGGCAGATATGGTAGAAAAGTGAAAATTCCTCTTATTCACCTTTCTCTTAGCATACAATTTAGCTATAACTGTAGCATTAACCACCCAGCTACCTAGGAACTTTAATTTTTTTTTCAATGACTTTTCTTAAAGACAGAAGAAGATGAGTAGAGGGGAAGAAGAAGCTTCAGCGATGTCTGATACATAATTTTCTAGCATGGACTTTTTAACATAAGGGAAAAATGCCTCTGAATTTAGGAGATTTCATACATGTGGGGAGGAGGAAAAATGTGTTGCTTTTCCTAATATGCATATTGACCTAAGAAGCCCGTGTTATGCTTTATTTGTGCTTACTTCACTTCGTTTTGCATTTTTTCAGTGAATATGCATGCACACCCCAAAAAGATGAAACGAAGTGAGATAAGCCTAAACAAAGCTTATTTGTCTTCTTTCTATGCATATTGACCTAAGAAACATGTGTTTTGCTTTGTTTGGGCTTACTTCACTTCCGTTTGCATTTTTTGGGTGAATATGCATGAACATCCAAAAAACACGAAACGAAGTGAAATAAGACCAAACAAAGCTTATTCGTTTTCTTTCAATGCATATTGACCCCCAAAACACTTGTTTTGATTTGTTTGGGCTTTTTTCACATCGTTTTGCGTTTTTTAGGGAAATATGCTGTACACCCAAAAAAACACGAAACGAAGTGAAATAAGCCCAAGCAAAGCTTTTTCATCTTCTCTCTAGGTATATTGAGCCCCAAAACACGTGTTTGGATTTGTTTGGGCTTACTTCACTTCGTTTTGCGTTTTTAGGGTGAATATGCATGCACACCCCAAAAACACGAAACTAAGTGAAATAAGACCAAGCAAAGCTTATTCGTCTTCTTTCTACGCATAGCGACATAAAAAAACACGTGTCTCAGCTGCTTTAACGTGTGTGTGCAAGAGAGAGAGAGAGAGAGAGAGAGAGAGAGCGCATTTAGGGCATTGGGGAAGCTTCCCAGCAGCAGGGTCCAGCTCAGCTGCTGGAACGTGAGAGGGAGAGATCAGAAAAGATCACGCTGATTATGACATTGGAGTAGCGTTGCTCTGCAGCTAACCTGCTTTAAGGTGAGAGAAAGATCTCTCTCAAAAGCTCACGCTGATTAGGGTACTGGGGAAGCTTCCCGGCATAGCTCTGCAGCCAAGCTGAGAGAGAGAGAGAGAGAGAGAGAGAGAGAGAGAGAGAGACTGATTTCAAAAGATTATTGCATTAAGGAACATGCGCGGCAGCGCTCTACAGCTCAGTTGCATTAACGTGACAGAGAGAGAGATAAAGCTCTCAAAAGATCATGCTGATTACATGAAGTGTGCCGACAGTGCTCTGCAGCTTAGCTGCTTTAACGTGTGAGAGAAAAAGATCTGAAAAGATCTCGCTGATTAGGGCATTGGGGAAGCTTCCCGTCACCACTCTGCAGCTCAACTTTTTTGTCATGAGAGAGAGATACCTCAACAGATCTTGCTGATTAGGGCATTTGTGAAGCTTCCTTTAGCAGCTCAGCTGCTTTAGCGGGAGAGAGAGAGAACTCCAAAGATAGCACTGATTAGGGCATTTGGGAAGCTTCGCAGCAGCTCTCTGCAGCTCAGCGCTTTAACCTGAGAGAGAAATCTCTCTCAAAGATCACGGTGAATAGGGCATTGCGGAAGGTTCCAGGCAGCGCTCTGCAGCTCAGCTGCTTGAACGTGTGTGAGAGAAAGATATCAAAAGATCACACTAATTAGGGCATTGGGGAAGCATCCTGGCAGCGCTCTGCATCTCAGCTGCTTGAACGTGAGAGAGAGATCTCAAAAAAATCAGACTGGTTAGGGCATTGGAGAAGCTTCCCGGCTGCGCTCTGCAGTCCAGCTGCTATACTGAAAGAGAGAAAGAGAGAGAGAGAGATCTCAAAAGATCGTGCTGATTTGGGCATTTTGGAAGCGTTTTATCAGCGCTCTGCAGCTCAGCTGCTTTAACATAAGAGAGAGATGTCTCTCAAAAGATCACACTGATTAGGGCTTTGGAGAAGCATCCCGGCAACGCTCTGTAGCTCAGCTGCTTGAACATGAGGGAGAGGGAGTTCTCAAAAGATCCTGCTGTTTAGGGCATTGGAGAAGCGTCCTGGCAGAGCTCTACAGCTGTTCTGCTTTAACAAGAGAGAGAGAGAGAGAGCTCAAAAGATCACGCTGATTAGGCATTTGGAAAGCGTCCTGGCAGCGCTCTGCATCTCAGCTGTTTCAAAACGAGAGAGAGAGAGAGAGAGAGAGAGAGAGAGAGAGAGAGATCTGAAAAGATAACGCTGATTAGGGCATAGGGGAAGCTTCCCAGCAGCGCTCTGAAGCTCAGCTGCATTAGCCTGAGAGAGAGAGAGAGATCTCTGTCAAAAAATCACACTGATTACTGCACTGGGAAAGCGCCCCAGCAGCGCTCTGCAGGTCAGCTACTTTAACGTGAGACAGAGAGAAATCTCAAAAGATCACACTGATTAGGGCATTGGGGAAGTTTCCCGGCTGCGCTCTCCAGCCCAGCTGCTTTAACGAGAGAGAGAGAGAGAGAGAGAGAGAGAGAGAGATCTCAAAAAATCACGCTAATTAGGGCATTGTGGAACCTTTCCGGTGAGGCATTCCCAAAGTAAAGGAAGGATTGAACTCTGATTAATAAGAATAGACACAGAGGCTTGAACCAGCAAGACTCTGGGAAGGGTGCGTATAACAGTCTCTGTCTGTCTCTCCACCCCTCGGCCCAGGTCGTTTTATTCACAAAAGAACTTTTACAGAGTGTTCATAAGAACCAATCAGATTTCTTCTGTACATTTCAACAAACCCCACGTGGGGACAAAGTTAAACTACCAAAACTAATTAAGCACACATATTTCTGGGGTAAACAAAACAGAACTACAAAGGAGTGCATTTGGCAACCCCTGAGGTCATAAACAAGCAATATACATGATAAGAAGGATGGCCAGGAGGACAGTGATCATTATGACCTTCATGTGAGATCTGTTTCCTGGCCCTAAAATTAACATCCTGGGATTAACATATCAGAAAAGCTACAGCAAAGAAACTGCCCACTGTCTTTGATGACCCAGGACGCCTGTCAGTCTAAGTGTGTACGTGACATGTCAAGCAAGAGAAATGGGCAGTAGAGGAAATGGCCAGAGATGCAGAGGGTTGTGGGATTTGGTCAGAAATTACTGTCAATGTATCAAACCCAGTCAACACAATGCATTCATTGTGGACACAATGGCTTGATGCATATTTTATAATTCCTCATAGTAATCCCACCTGACCCCACACTCTGGATATTTGCACTCCTACATCCGGCAGTGCTCTGGAGCTCAGCTGCGTTAACGTGTGTGTGTGTGAGAGAGAGAGCTCTGAAAAGATCATGCTGTTTTAATATGAGAGAGATACAGAGGTCTCAAAAGATCACACTGATTAGGGCATTTGTGAAGCTTCCCAGCAGCTCTCTGAAGCTCAGCGCTTTAACCTGAGAGAGAGAGAGATCTCTCTCAAAAGATCACGCTGATTAGGGCACTGGGGAAGTGTCCTGGCAGCGCTCTGTAGCTTTAACGTGTGTGTGTGTGTGTGTGTGTGTGAGAGAGAGAGAGAGAGAGAGAGAGAGAGAGGAGGGAGGGAGGGAGATCTCAAAAGATTGTGCTGATTAGGGAATTGGGGAAGCTTCTTGGCAGGGGTTAAAAGGTTAAAGGTGGATCTACACGGATCCTCATGGATCGTCCACTTTTTAAAAAATAACCCCAACAAATGCAGTGTCAAATCACACCTGGAAGGCACGCCTACAGACTGGACTATAAAAAACGTGGATCCAACACTTTGCCGCGCTGCAGCACCACAAAAACATGGATCCGAGGCATGGATCCTCATGAATTCATATGATTTTTATATTGAAACAAAATAAAAACACCATGATACTGTAGACAACTTCTTAGTCTGTAGGCAGAACCAAAAAAATCAGGAATCCACTGTTTCGTGGTGCCGCAATGGCACAAAAACATGGTTAAAAAACATGGATCCTCATGATTTTTGCACTAGATCAGCCCAAAGTCACCATCGGATCAAACATCATGGCCATGAGCACAGCATGCAACACAAAAATCACGGATCCACGGATCCACGGTTTCCTGGTCATACCATGGCCCAAAAATGTGGTTTTGTAGCACGGATCCTCATGGATCCTCATGCTTTTTGCATTGGGCCAGCCCAAACTCATTGTCAAATCACATGTCATAGCCAAGGGCACAGCCTGCACCACAGAAAACTCAGATCCACAGCTTCCTGGTCATACCGTGGCCCAAAAATGTGGTTTTGTAGCACGGATCCTCATGGATCCTCATGCTTTTTGCATTGGGCCACCCCTAACTCACCGTCAAATCACACATCATGCCCAGGGGCACAGCCTGCACCACAAAAATCATGAGTTGCACTACAAAAATCACAAAAATGCCCTTACCTGCACCGTTAATGTCACCACTGGAAAATTATTATTAGAGCCAATAGGAGAATATATGACTATATATAGTACCAAGATATGGTTCATCTTCAAGAACAGATCAAATACATGCCAAAGTATTAAAGAGGAGAAAAAATATGAAACTGCTTACATACTGTCAACTAATATCCAGATTCAAAAAAGACTGTATGGCAAACATCTAAATCAATGAAAAGACAGAATTTGAGTCCATCATAACAGAGTTCTACCTTTTGAGTGAAATTTATAAACTATTACTCAAATATGACACCAAGCCCGAACAAGCAAAACCTTATATGACAAAATGGATGCAAAAATTTTAAGGGCAGTTTACAGTGGAACAATGAGAACAATTATGAATAAAGGAATAAAATTCACTGCAAGTTAAGCCCTAAAACAAAATTGGTACAGTGGAACCTTGGGTTGCAGACATAACCCGTGACTGAGGCACGTCCGCAACCCACGGTGTTCGCATCCTGAAGCGCCACGTCTGCACAGGCGCCGGCGCAATTTGGCGCTTCTGCGCATGTGCGAGCGGCGAAACCCAGAAGTAACTCGTTCTGGTACTTCCAGGTTTCCCGCGGTCTGCAACCGAAAAACACATAACCTGAAGCGGCCGTAACATGAGGTATGACTTTACAAAAATGTTCTTTCAGTGGTATATAACTTTGAAAAATATACAGAAGATGAATAATGCAATGAATGGACATTGCTGGAAATGTGATAGACTTTAAGGAATCTTCTTCCATTTATGGTGGACCTGTGAAAAGACTAAAAAGTTTTGGAGGAAAGTTCATTTCGAAATGAAAAAATGTAAAAAAAAACCACCCCTAAATTTGCATTGGACCCCAAAACTATGCCGTTGGGAATGACTCCTTCAGCTACTGTATTGTGAAATCGTCAGTGGAACTATTTAGTTATATGACCACAGCAGTCAGAGTGGTATTGGCTAACATATGGAAATCTGACATATGTCCTAAAATAGATGCATGGAAAGAGAAACTATCAGAATATGCAGTAATGGCAAAACTCGACAATTTAGTAAATAATTGACTCATCTTTATAATTTGTATACAACT